TAATTTACCTGCAGATGTTCTGAAGCACAGCTGAGAGGACACTGGCTGGTTCACAGAAGAGCCAGCACATCAGTTCAGGCCTCGTCTCTCTGAATTGGTTTCCTGTTTAATTTAGATTTGATTTTAAACCCTCCTGATTAGTTTCAAGGCTGTCGGGGGACAGACCCATCCTCCTTGTATCACAGACGTTCTTCAGTTGCTCTCGGCTCTCTTGGATGTAGCTGCAAATCTGTCTCGTTGTCATGGTTAAATCTAAACTGTGACACAGCTTTAGAGTTACTGCTCCGAGCTGCTGTTAAATATAACATCTTCTTCCTGTGTTTTTAAGTGAAGGATAAAGATGTAATAACTGTTGAGTTTGACTAAATAAGCTTTTATCATGTCAACAGTTCTGTTGTCTGATGAAGTCTGTTTGGGATTTTCTTTCAATTAAAACCTTGTCTACTCTATGAATATTTTTATATAAATGTCTTTCAAACTGAAAAACACCCCTGTGTATAGGAGAACACAAATGAAGGCGTTGAAATAACTAGGGATGCACGATATTATTGGCACGGTATCGGTATTGGACGATATTAGAGATAAAAGTTAAATATCAGACATCAGCCATTCCATCAAAATAACTCACCGATATAAAAGGCTTCTGTTTTAAGTTAATTTTTAAGAAACTATCAAGTATATCTATTAATGCACTACTACTTATGCGCTTTTCACTTGTCGCTTGTGAACAGATTGAGTTTAGATTTGTGAAAATTTACTAATTTGCACTGTTCGAGTGTTGTCATTGTGTTAGAGAGTAAATGTCATAAATAAATTTGACATTAAACATAATCCATGTTGAAGTGTTACATCATTTTCAGCTCCTTTTTGGCATCTGCATTTGTTAGCAGGCCAAACTGACAATGACCATGCAGAATAATGTATTTTAATTCCACAGCAGAGAAAGCTATGTAGTCTCTGTAAGTACTGTACTTTTCGCTGTATAAGTCACACCTTTTTGCATAAATTAGCATGCCCTATACAATGAAGCGACTAATATGTGTTTCCCCCCTATATTTATAACCAATTTTTGGCTGAGATCTGACGATTTTATTCATTCTGACATGGAAAATATTGAACATTACCATTTTCAGCCACTAGAGGGACCTCAAGTAATATGGCAAGCCAAGTGTCTCATTAATAGGTAAAAGTGGCTATTAATGAGACTTGCCTTGCCATACCAAGCCACCTTCGTCTCACTCCGGAACTCCTGGAGCAAACTCGAATCAGCTGCATTTCACCGTGCCGCCCAGTCGAAATGCAGCTGATTTGACCGTCAAAGTGCATTCATTAAGTAAAAGTTAAACCGAGACGCACCTTTACTATAATGTCGAGCAAACAAACAATTGTTTTTAAGTGTTAATCTTGTTAAATTCTTGTTAAAGTCCTCCCGTGCACGCTCCCACGGCCGACGTTTGGCAGCCAATCGATTTTTGGCACAACACCGGCCCATGTTTCCAGGTGGTCAACAGTGACGCTTACGTAATAAATGCGACTTATACGGGGAAGCAACGCATTTGTTTTTTCGACTTTATTAGACATATTTGGACTGATGTGACCTATACGGTGGTACGACGTGTACAGCGGAAAGTACAGTAGGTATAGGGAAAAAACTATCGGTACTGGATATCGGCCAAAAATCCAATATCGTGCATCCCCAGAAAAAAAACATGCAATAAGGTTATAAACAGCATACAAATACTTACAAGAACAAAAACATTGTATGTAACCGTTTTTTAACATAGGTTAACACTTTATGATAAATAACATTTTCAACACATATTAAAGTTTTAATGGCAAAAATGGTACAACGCATGAATACAAAAGGTTAAATCTGCACCGTTGTTGTTTTCTAGCACGTGTGAATGGATGTGTGCAGCATAGTTTTACCAAGAATTTGAGTTGGTCAAGCATAAGCAAATGGTTTTATTATTCTAAAGCCGTTAGGACGTGAGTGAGAGGAGCATCAGTAAGTTTAAGTATCCATACTGCTGTGGGCAGAGCTCCAGTTAAATTATTTAAATTACAATGTTTGTGCATCCCATTTTCTGTAACCGTCAACAGACTGGGATGAAATCTGACCTAAATGAAGACAACGTGGGCAGAAAGCAGGTTGGCCTAAATTATCCAGGAGCTTTGATTTCACATCTAAACAGGCTGAACATTGAACCATGAAACTCAACTCAGGAGCAAAACTTGAAGGATCTGGCAGTTTCATTTTCATTTCATATATTCGTTTAAAAGGACAACGCACATTAATCATTTTCAGTAATAATAAAGTGCTGGAATTAGAACGACGACTAGATTTCATCCGTAAATGAGGCATGAAAAACGAGGAGCGTGTTGACAGGGAGGGGTGGTGGGTGAAATGCGACGCAGGTAGTGAGTGTTTCCAGTGGCCATGAGATGTACGAGAATAAAACCAAGGAGGACTTCATCTGGGAGTCAAACCTGAACCCTTCTTACTGCGAGGCGCCAGCGCTAACCCTCTGCTCCACCATGCAGCCAAAAAAACAGAGTAACAAAGCATGAAAGGTGAAAACCAAACCATAACAGGAAGGGATCCTTCTGAAAACACAAACAGCAAGAAAACAACAGATTCATTCAGCTCGTCTAAACATGTTTTTTCATTTTTTTAAAGCTCGTTGTTTCTGGTTTGCTCAATATGAAACGTCTCTGTTCAGCTCAACGCCAAGAAACAGACTTCGAACTTTGAACACAGCGGCTCTTTTTGTGTCCAACAAGCCACAAATCTACAGTTTGAGTTGGAAGAGACCAAAGAAGAAACACTTCAGAAGATGCAGAACAGAAAATCCTTCTCCTCGCGCCATTTTTTTATTGCTTCACTTAATGACGTCACCATAAAGTACGTTTGTCAAACATCTATAAAGCTTCTTGTCATGTTTTGACCAATCAGAGCAGTCATGGGTTTCCAAATGAAGAAGCAAAAGAGGTGCACGGTCTACAAAAAAACGTGTTCGTGAACAATAAATCACACTTTACACCAAAAATCAAACCCTAAACCTTTAATTAAATATAAAATGGGCACTTTGCTTGTGTATTTATGTGCCTGTGTTTTATTTTTCTTCGTTAAAGCAGTTTGTGATTCCAGAGGACAGAATTATTCGCGTGTACAACAGCTCAACAGCAGCGATTATTCAGCCGTGGCGCTGATGTCACGAGGTGAAACGTTGTCTTGTGTGATTTCTGAGCGCAGATCTGTAATCACAGTTCGTCAGGAGGCTGCTCGTGTAATCGCACCAACCGTGTCGTTTGCTGTCACGAAGAAGAAACGCTTAGATGCTTCCCTTTTTGCATGTCCAGTCTCATTCTTCTCTTTTTGTTTTTAAATTAAAGACGAGTGCAAATAATAAAATCTGGCTGGTTATTCAATCATTTCTTTCCTGGGTAGCTCGGTACTGAAACTTCTACAGGTTGTTTTTATATATACACTTTTTAAATTCAACCGTGACAAGCTTCAGTCTTAAAACAAAGGGATTCTGTGTTTATTTTTTCCCAATTTCAAATTGTACTTTTCTTTAAATTTTACTAAGATGTCTTTATTTTGAAATGACTCCTAGTTTTAAGAAAAATGAGACGAGATAAGGTAGAACTTTATTGATCCTGCAGGAAATTGTTGCAGTTGTTTAAATTCATCAAGGTCAAGGTTCTTTATTGTCATTTACATCACATGTGGTACATGAGGTGGAATGAAACTGTGACAATTGTGACGAAATTTAACACATTGACCTGACTCCGCCATGTTTAACAAGACTCTACAGGTCTACCTGCGGAGGAAACTAAAGACCCTTCATGTCAGCAGGAGCACACTGACCTTGATTTGCAAGTACCTGATTGAGTCCATTTTGAAAATGTTCTTAAACAAAGCTAAGTAGGCGCATCTTAATGGTGTTAACTAATGGTGATAATTCTACTAATCTGGTGATAATATTCATACTCATCTGCTCACACAGACTCATGTTCGTGCTGCTGTTGTTCAGTTTATTACTGTTTTTGCACCAAGTGTTTAGCATATTTCTTAGTTCATACCTTGGATCTTATTACGGTGGTTCTTCTACATTTTGTACTTTTGTTGGATGTAACTGGGACCCTGTGTACACAATTTCCTTCCAGCACATGTACACGTGATGAGAATGACAATTAAAAACACCTTGACCTTGACCTAACGTGGTCTTTATTAGTTTCGGTTGTTGGTTCTTGTGTGTGTATGATGAATGTAGAGCATGTCAAAGGAGAATTTCTACTACAATTGTGGTACACAAAGTTTTATCTTATGTTATCTTATGTTAATGAATCAATAGCAATGACCCAACAACATTTGACCTTTATTTTGGACCTTGACCTTGAAGCTGGGGTGATGATTATGCATTAGACTCTCCGTCTAGTGATGATGCATATGTGTTTGAAGTTTCGTTAACTTATCTTGAGTGCATCAAAATGGGAGTGGTGGCACAGAGGTTAGAGAAGGTGGGCTTGTGATTGGAAGGTCGCTGGTTCAACTCCCGGTACAGACAACATCAAAATGTGGGTGGGACCTGCCTCCATCATTTACCCCACTCTAGGCCCTTGAGCAAGGCTCTTAACCCCCACCATCACCCTAGATGGCAGCTCTCTGCTCCACACAGAGGGCTGGTAGCTCAGTGGTCTGTGGTTGTGTCAGGAAGGATATCCGGCGGAAAACAATTGCCAAGTCTTCGTGCGACTTAGTTCGCTGTGACGACCCCTGAAGAAGGGAGCAGCCGAAAGAAGAAGAAAAATCTTGAGTGCATCAAAAGTTACGTTTGGGACAAAGTTTACACACAGAGACCAAACCATAATAAGTCCTGCCTTTGACGGGCGTATAGAACTAGAACTGACCTGAGCTGCTGCTTTGACGAGTTCAGAGTTGGGTTATGTCCGTCCTCTATGAATAAATGCTCCACATTTGTCTCGTCCTACAGATTTGCACTCCAGACCTGGTGGTTTTTCTGGCCTGCACCAACCACCGTTTGAAGGAGAGGCTGCAGAAACGAGCCGAGCAGCAGGGACGACCTGACGACAACCCAAAGGCCATCGATCGCCGCCTCACTAACTTCAAGCAAAACACCATTCCTCTGGTCAAGTACTTCCAGGAGAGGGGCCTCATTGTTACGGTGAGCCCAGCAGAAAACATCTTTTATTCACAACACTAGAAGCTAAAAAGTAGGGTAATTAAAAAGGTGTCTTTGTTTATCAGCAATCTCGAGTGATTAATGACCTTTCACAACTCAGACGTTAATAGTTGCAGAAAATGAGGTAGAAATGATCCACTTCTTTTACCAAAAGAAATACCTGAACACAGGTCCCTCAGAAAACACCTGAAGAATCAAAACAAAAGAAGGATATTGCTTAAAAACATTGGCTACGATGTAGGAATCTTGAATGTTGAACACCATCAGAAATGTTTGTTTTCTACATGTCAGGGACTATTTTATTCATATGGCAACTAGGGATGCACCGATCCACATTTTTAAATCTGGATATCGGCCGATACCGATCCAGTTCTGATATCATGACCATTGATTTTACATGAGGCTGTAATAATCTCCTCTCAAGTACAATTTGTACAAATCTATGCATGCATGTCCAAAAAGGCAACTTGAGGTAAGTTTTATTAATGTTGGATAAGTTTCAAAGTTAGAATTAATTTCTGCTAACACAAAATGTGTTTTTTTTTATCCTATCTTTAAAGTGGATATTAAAGTGATTCATTTAAGTGATAGTTTGTTTAAAGTTATTATATATATTTTTTAAATAAGGTGGAGATAAGATTTTTTTTTTTCTTTCGGCGCTCTTTTCATTCAATGTTTTCTTTTTTATTTATTTGTTATGTTTATTTTATCTTAAATGAATGAATAAATGAATTAAATTAAAGAAAAAATTTATAAGCTTTAAACATCTGCTAAGTTCGTGGCATAAACCAACACAGATGTGTTTTTTAGTATTTTAAATCACTTTAGCCGTTTTTGTTTTGGTTTTTTTATATATATAATTTTTTTGTAATTTTCAAATCATGTTTTTTTTATTTTTTATGATTGTCTACTGTTGTACTGATAAATATCTCCTGGAGGGTAAACTATATCTTGGCTGCAAGTATCAAGCTGAGAAATCCTTCGTTTTCTACAACTGATAGTGGTTGGTCATTAATTATGATGAAGTTTAGCAACTTCTCTGTAAACATTTGAGCTCCGGGGCTTCAGCGATGTCTTCTTCTTGTTCAATCTGCAGCTGGCAGTCTGATCTCGGTCAGTCACGTTCAGTCTGCCCTCGTCAGAGACGAGAAAAAAAAAAAGGTTTCAAGCAAGGATTTCAAAGCTGACAGGACTGATTTGTCCCTGAACACGACCGGGCCAGACTACTTAAAACTTTAACAGTTAAAAGTATTCTTGCTTCCTTGATTGAGTCAGAAAATATGCTGCTAGATGGTTTGTAGAAGATGGAGAGAGGTTTTATCTAAACCAACCAAGAATTCCAGTGTTCCAGGTGTGAGGTGATCGAGGCATGAATAACTTTGTCCAGGTGTTTTTTATTTTATTTTATTTTTTTAAGAGCGATACGGCTTCGCTTTGGTGCTCAGTCTGAGTTGTATGTCGGAGCTTTAGGGCCATGCTAAAAAAAAAATATTTAAGCCATAAAATTACGAGAATAAAGTCGTACGAGCCTTTTTTTTTTGGCAGCTCTTATTTATTTTTTCCACGAGTCAGATCCACAACATGACCTGTCAATCAATCCAGAAGGGGTGTCAGCAAATGACCAATCCGAAGCTAAATGCTTCTTACCTGCAGAGCTGCTGCGGCTCATCAGAGCGTACCACCTGACTACGCAGGCTCAAAGTCCTGATACTGATAATAATTTGATGCTGATGTGCTGATAGATTAACGGTCTCCTGATTTGCTAAACCAGTACCAAAGTATAACTTAACAAGATACTCAACATTCTTCATTTTACCACAGTTAAAATGCAGTAAACCTGCTTTATCGTGTCGGAGTTTGGATAATATTACGACTCGTTTACCTTCAGATTGGTCATTTGCTGACACGCCTACTGGCTTGATTGACAGGTCATAGGTAAATAAGCGAGAGCAGTAAAAAATAAGTCTCGTATGACTTTATTCTCGTAATATTATGGCTTTAATTTTTTTTTTCTCCGTCGTAGAGTTGTAACTGTATCTGCATCAAATCTCACTGTGAAGTCCAAATCACTTTACATTTACAGATCTGATGGCGTCGGAGGAAAAATCAGAACATGAATGCCATCAGCAAATTAGAAATCCACTTTGATCACATTAGGGACTGTTTTGCAGAACGTGTTGTTAATGTCAGTCTGAGCAGAACAGCGATGGCCTAAAGGCACAGAAACTTATGAGAAACTGCAGGGAGAAGGATTCTGAGCCGAGTCCTTTCAACTCCGTTTGGTGTGAAGATGCGGACTGTTGCTGAGGACTCATTGTTTACTTCAGACCTCTGGGATCTGTCAGAGTCAGCGCAGAGGAGCATCGACTTACTCTCAATTTGTGCGAGTCGAGTGCTAATGGGAGCAGCTGTCTCCTGCAGCTGAAAGCCCTCTGTGCTGCTGGGAGTCTCATCGATCAGGCGGAGACTCGGCGCAGCCTCGTTTTCCTCTCAGCAGAGGGACTCTGAGCGACTCCGACGACCGTGAAGGGAGAAACTTTGTTTGTGTGGCTGCATGGATTGTTGTTTCTGTGCTCCGTGGAGTCAATATTCTCGGGTGAAATTCACACTTTATAGTCTGCCGTCCTCTTTATGTCTGTAAAAGCAAAACAGAGTCAAACCAGCATTTCTTAAAGGACTGCTCACACGATCTGTTAGAGCTCAGAGTATGTGTTAGGGATGACACTCAGCTGCAACCACACCAAACTGTAGATCAAAATCTCAACGTATACCATATTTTCCGCCGTACCCGTCGCACCGCTCTATAAGTTGCATCGGTCCAAAAACGTCAAATGAAGTGGAAAAATCCTTAAATACATCACTTCGCCGTATATGTTGCATCTATTATGCGTCACTGCTGACAACCCGGAAATGTGGGCCAGTGTTGTGCCAAATGGCAGCCTCGGGGACGTGCACGGGAGGACTTTAACAAGAATTTAACAAGATTAACGCTTAAAAACTATTTGTTTGCTCGACTTCATAGCAAAGGTGCGTCTCAGTTGAACTTTTATTGAATAAATGCACTTTTATGGTCAAATCAGCTGCATTTACAAAAAGTATTCGCTGCCTCGATGCTCCGGGAGCGCGCACTGAGGGAGGAAATCAGGAAGGAGGACTGTGCATTTCTTCGAAATTTAACAAGATAAGCACCTCAGACGGCTGAGTCGAGCTGGTCTGGGAAGCTCAGTCCTCACCTCCTTCTACAGGTGTGCAGTGGAGAGCATCCTGTGCTCGAGCATCAATGTGTGGCATGGAGGCTGCACAGCTGCAGAAAGAAAAGCTTTGCAGAGAGTGGTGAAGGCTGCACAGAAATCTGTTGGAATCAGTCTCCCCACCATCACAGACATCTACACCTCCAGATGCAGGAAGAGGGCCACCTGCATCATGAAGGACCCCACCCACCCAGCACACACACTTTTTGCCCCACTCCCCTCAGGAAGGAGGTTAAGGAGCATTAAGTGTAGAACCACTAGACTGAGGAACAGCTTCTACCCTGAGGCTGTTAGACTCATGAATCTCTAACTAGAATAATCACTGTGAAAAACCATATCATGTTGCTGCTGATCTGTTTCATGTTGCTGCTGATCTGTTTCAATGTTGATGTGTTCATGCGTGCACATCTGCTCACAGACTCATGTTCATGTTTGTGGTGATGTTCAATGTTTTATGTTATGAGTGCTTAGTGTATATTTAGTTGATGTTTTTCTTAGTTCATATCTTAGATGTTATTACTGTTTTTCTTATACATTTTATTGTTGGATGTAACTGGGACCCTGCGTACATAATTTCGCTCCACCACATGTACCACATGAGGTGCGAATGACAATAAAGAAACTCTGACTCTCTCTCTCTGACCTAAACAATTATTTGTTTGCTCAACTTTATAGTAAAGGTGTGTCTCAGTTGAACTTTTACTTAATAAATGCAATCCATACAACTCTTCAGCATATGTCTCAGGGCATGCAAATTATGCAAAAAAAAAAAAAAAACGTGACTTATAGGCTGAAAAATATGGTACTCTCCGATATAAAGATTTTCAAGTTAGAGCTGTTTTTGTGTTTCTAAGTTTGATTAGCTGTGGCAGCCATCTTGGATCCAGTTGACTCCAAAAGATGATCAGTTGTAGACATACAGTATGTCTATTGATCGCTTTCTGAGAGTTCCATGAGATATTTTGCTAACAGACCCAGTCAATTATATTATCACCCACAGCCATTACCGGATGACAAAGAGAAAATATCTGAAGGGTAGATACGCTTGATGATATATATTTTATTACAAGGAATTTTTTATAATTTTTTTATTTCCCTGAACAACATCATAAAGGTTTTGTTTTATTTTGTCAGTATTTTTGCTTATTTCAAGTACATCTTGCACTGAAAATAGATAAATTATTGCCAGCAGAATTTAAACAAGTTCACTTGTTAAGAAAAAAAAATCAGGTGTAATACTTTAACATGTTCGAAGAGGTACAGGGTCTTAAAAAAAAAAAGAATTATGTGCCTTAATAATATTTTATTAGCAGTATTATAATTTGGATTTCAGTTTTCTGTGGTGCTCCATGGGGTTCTGCATCCCGTCTGATCCTGACTCTCATTTCAGTTCTCGTTGTTTCCCTGCAGCTCCTCCATCACTGCATCCTCTGGTTTTCTGTCCTCGCTCTGTGTTTTCATCCCAGCAGTGAAACAAAAGTTTGACGAGCTTCTTTTCGTGGCACATTCTCCAAACATGCGTTTCCTTGGACTGCACAGGAAGCTGACTTGCTTTTTTTCTTTTTACATTTTGAGAACTTCAATGGTTTTAACATTTTGAGAACTTCTCAATGGTTTTATCATTTTGAGAACTTCTCAATGGTTTTATCATTTTGAGAACTTCCATGGTTTTAACATTTTGAGAACTTCTCAATGGTTTTATCATTTTGAGAACTTCCATGGTTTTATCAT